TCAATCGCTCTCTATCTCCAGTTCCATCAAGACCCTAGTTCCTAGATCCAACCAGCGACAACGATCCAATGGCGACGACGCTCCAAATGACGATGGCTCGCAAGCACTAATTTCACCTCCCGTGATGACGGCAATACAACAGTGAGATCCTCCGATCCTCTATCTCCAATTCCACTGATGCCTTAGACACTAGATTCAAACTTTATTCTCGACGATATCATCAGCAGGCTGCTGGAGGTTCAATCGGTGAGGCTAAGTAAGTAGGTTCAGCTATCAGAGGCAAAGATCAGGTAACTGTGCATCGCTTTGAGAGAGATCTTTCTTCAGCAACCTACAGGCAACTGTGCATCGCTTTGAGAGAGATCTTTCTTCAGCAGCCTAACCTCTTGGAGCTCGAAGCTCCGATCAAGATCTACGGTCAGTTTCTTAATAGCTCTCACTGTGTTTGTTACATTGATTGGATGGAGAAATTGCGATCAAAAGCATTATTTTCGTTTATTTGCGGTGAATAATGTAGTTGTTCGATTGATTAATTATAGTAGGACGTTTGTTGGTTTGTCGTCCATTGACTTGAAATTTATGGGGAAAAAAGAGTAACTTTTGTTAATAGATCTAGTAGAACTGTGATGTTTGTTCATTACATTGGTTTAATAAATTGATCAATTTTAAGTCTTGTGGGATATGTATCAATATGTGTCACCACAAGTTTACATTGATTGTTTTAAACAAGCTAATCTAAGAACTAAATATCTAAACTCATGAGCTTTCTTTGAAGGCCTCTGAATTGTGAATCTATGAGCTGTGTTATGTCAGAATTAAGTAGTCCCTAGAACATGTATACGTGATTTACATATCTTGGAATTGATCATGTATAGAGTTTCAAATTTGTAATGGTCATATCTAGAGAAAATGCAAAACATATTGCTCAATTGTAATGGTCACATATTAGCTAGGCTTATTGTAGGTCACACATTAGTTAGGCTTATTGTAGGTCACACATTTACTTGAGCATGCAGTACTTGTGATCATATTGATATTGTTAGGAACTTAGATAACCTGGGGACCATACCAAGCTCTACCAGTGTATCTTCTTGTACCCTATTCTTTGGGGAAGCAGTATGTTCTTTTTTTCCTTTTGTTTAGTAATTCTAAATTTGTTATTCTTTTCCTTTACGTTTACTCCATGTAAAATGGTCTAATTCTATCTCTTAGATAAGTATAGTCTTATACATTAAATTTGTTATTAGTTCCCTGCCATTCCCGCCGTCAATAAGGTAATGATTAGTTAATTTTAGAATTCTTAGTTTTTTCAAATTTGGTCACGGAATTTGGTATCCCTTAACCTAACTTCCACTACAATTCCTGTGACTCTTTCACATGCAAACCTAAGACCCCTTCTAGTGTTTATATTTTTGAAAGATATGGTTAACTATGATTGAATCTGCTAGGAAAACTAGAGTTGTTAAATTGAAGTTGAGTGGTTAGCTTGAATATATGCTCACCTATCAGAGGTTTCTTGCATTGCCGCCGAAGCTGATCTTTGTAAATATTGACAGCCAATATAATTCAAAAGCAGTATAACATTAAGAGGGGGTTAGCATCCATAAGATTCGATCTTAAAGTTGGTCAGCGATTGTGAATACTTTTATGCCTTTGATAACTTTTACGATGCTTTTATTTATTGTTTAACAGGTCTAATAAAAAATGGAGTTTATGGCTTTTGTTTGCTTTCTGATGAGTTTCCTTCTCAGATATTTCATTCTTTTTATGGTTTCAAGCAGCAATCATCTTTCCTTTCATTTGTATATTGATGTACCACAAGATCTTCCTTCCCTCATTTGTTTTCGTTTCTGACATAAACATGATTTCTTCCTTAATTTGTTTCTTTCTTATTTGTCCACATCAAGTTCTGTCAAATGAGAAGTTTCTTGGTATATTTTTGCATCTCATTTCTCCATACTATTATTATTGCATCGGTGGACTTTGGAATTATTAGGGCATGTGGTGGGCACAAAACATGCCTACTTGCAATTTTTTCCACTGTTCCGCATGGCAGGTTTCTATTACCCCATCAGCTTTGGATACTGTAATATATTCATTCTTTTTCTAGTGAAACAGCCAAATTGTTTTAAGTTTGTACCTTTGTCTTTGGATATTACCATTGTTCTTCAGCCTTCATTACTAATTTACCTTTATGATTCTTTCCTAGTGATTGTCACGTTTCTAAATTCTGAACTGAAACTTGAGTGCATGAGTTTTCAAGTCAAATTAGCATGCATGAGTGCATCTTATCAGTATTGGTAACACATTAGGCTTAATCAATCTCTTAAGTCTTCATTATGGACTGAAACTTGAGTTAACTAACTTCTAAATGTGTAAATAGTGAAATTGAAACAGGATTAATGCTTAATTATGTACAACTTCAATTTCTACATTTTAATTTCTACGTTTCTTCCTAATTTCCAGAGCTCTTGCAAATTTGGAGCATTGTTTGATGTATATTGTTGTGATCAGTTGTCATATAAACATTAATTTGTAATAGCATGTGTAGTCATATTACATAAAAGGAAAAACATAGTGCAAGATTATAAACACAAGTGTTGTATGCACACAAGCACAGAGCTATATTTAAGAATGAAAGATATCAAGGTCTTTCACTCTCTGAGCCTCTTGTGCCCTAAATGGTATACGGTATACCCCATATCATAACATCCTAATTGCGAAGATGCCAACTACCAAAGTTATTACAGCTCAAATGGAACCTCAATCTCACATCAGAAGGTGAATTTGTGGATTGAAGGAAAACCATACTTCCTTTATAATATAATTAGGACATTGCACTGTTTTAAAAAGCATCCGCCTAATCCGCCTAGGCCTAGGTGGTATCTAGGCCATCTAGCTAGCGCCTAGCGCCCGGACAGTACCTAGGTTGCCTACCTAGATTTTAGGAGTGTTTATGGGAGTATTGTCTATTTACATGGAATGCACCCTTTAGGCCTCAATCGTAATTTTTTATGTTACAACCCCTAATTCCTCTAACCTCCTTCAAATACCTTTAACCTCCAAATGTGAACATATACATTGCCTCCTCCGACCTCTAGCAAAATCTCCTTGACCATCACCTAAATGAAGAAACAAATCCGCTTAGACACCAGTCCGACACCTAAACTTTCTACAACATTGGTATTTACTATCAATTATTATAATTAAAATAAAAACTCCTCCTAGGCTCTAGGCTCCAGGTCTAATGCCTAGGCCACCTAGCGCTTTTAATAACCTTGATAGTTATTATTTTGGCTATTTAGTATTTAATTATAATAATTTATAAAATAGCCAAACGCGTAGGTGTCGCGTAGGCATCTAGGCGATAGGCGCTGGTTCAAACACCTAGTCTACTTAGCGCTTTCTATAACATTGACATTAATAGCCCCAAAATTAGGGTATACAATTATTCCTATTTATTTATGTATGAAGAGTAACACATATCCACTACTACTAACGAAAAGTTTGAAATATTTCTACTGACAATGAATCATATATAATCAACTCCCCACAGATAAAATCCTTAGCATGGCCAAGGTTTTAAATATCGGCCAATAATCTAATTTTATCCCCGAGTTATCGGTTTTAGGAGATCTCTGATAGGATAAGTTAGAATTTAAATCAGTTATCTTTTTTTTTGGGTTTATCGGCGATAATGCAGCGATAAAGGTGATTATTAACCGATATTAGCGGCTCTAAAAATTGGAATTATCAGGCCACACTATTGGGTTGTCATTCTAGGTGATGGGCAGTTTTTGAGTGAACTTGAAACCCGACATGACTCATTCTTTACAATAAAATTTAAGTTTGATTAAGTAGCCCTAATTCTCCAGTCTATCTCCCCTCATTTGTGTGGTTGTGCTCACTGCCCTAATCCTCTGATCTATGTTTCTCTTTGGACTCCGTCGACCTTGACACTCACCTCCGTCGACTTTGATGCTCACCTCCACTCATCTTCGGACTCCGCTGACCTCAACGCTATCGACTTTGACCATTCGACGTTGCTCTCTCATCAACATTAACTTCATCGACTTGACAACTTCAACTGATGATGTGCTCCTTCCATCAACGCCATCATCAACTGATCTGATTGACTTGAATCAACTGATCTGATTGACTTGACAACATTGACCGCCACTGAACTCTCTGTCGATGTCGAGCTCTCTCCATCGATGTCATCGTCAACTATGACTTCGACGATTCAACTTGGACTCTCCATCGAGGTCACACCCTCAACACAACTTCTGAAGTTGTAGCAACAAACAATATTCACTATTTAATTGGTTTTTTCTATAGTTATTTAGTGAAGGTTGAGAGAATGAAATAGGAGAGTATGGTTAGATCATAATTTGGGGTATTATATTATATATACACATCATACAATATATCACTCCGGTAAATACTACTTATCCCCGATATATCCCTGATTTTCGCTATCCAATAAAGATTTTAGCCGTCCGATAAATCCCTGATAACTGATATTTATAACCTTGAGCATGGAAAATGAAGATGAATTCCAATAATACCATTGTATAAACACACGTATTTCTACAACAAATCCTATTTAACCAATAAGTTCTCCTAATATTCCAAAGATAACTATGCACTAGTGTATTATTTGAATGTATTCCTATATAGTATCACACTTCAAATTGGAGCTGACTTGGTCTTCTTGTTGTTTCAGGTGATTTAAGATCTGGCAAAGCATGACTTACTTCTTGAACTAGGAAGAGAAAGTTACAATGAGAAATACAAAGTAAAATTATATAAATATTAGAAAGAAATTCTAATTTGAATCACATGTAAAAGTTTTAAGAAAAACTAGTGTGAGAGCAACTTAAGCATGAAACCGCATAATGGGGAAATATTAACTTTTATTGATTTGTATTTGTTGGATATTTTGGATCTTTGGTTTGTTCAATTGTTATATGCAATATTTGTACTTTATGTATTGTTATAGTTAGTGGTGGATGAGTTTACAAAGTTTTATTGATGAATAATTTCAGTCCTTTTTGTGGTGATTATTAGGTCAACTATTGATAAGGTATTTTATCTATATGTCAAGTTAGTCAAATATCAGATATATTATTTGAAGCATTTATTTCCACCAATTCAGATGCATAACTTGTGTAAATTGATTATCTTATTTCTAAATTATCTTTGAGCTACAATTTTAGTTTAGAAATTAGAATTCTACTAATTGACAAACAACTTAATTGAAATTTTCAAAATTAAAATTCTAAAGTTTGCCAACATGAATTTCAAAATTGAATTTTGGAATTCAAATTTGGATGTTTCCCAATCAAATGAATTGAATTTGAAAATCTGAATTTCAAATTCCAATATTCAATTCTGGAATTTGAAATCAAATCCTCGAGCCCAAACACAACCTAGAACAATTTGAACTGATTACAGAAGTACCATCTCTCCATGGATTGCCAAACTCTCATTACTTAAATTTTGTAAAGGAAAGTGGGACAGAGTTTGTTGGAATGGTAAACACACCAAGAAGCCTCTTCTTTCCTTCAAGTTTTATCAGTTCTATTGTTTCTCTCCCTTCCTTTGAGGTCGGAAATTAAAGACTAAATCCAAATCAGCTATTAAAGTTTTAAAAACATTTAAATCACTCCTGAGGCACTTTTCACTTGAACACACCAATCTAGCTTATGTAGCTCATTATTGCCAGTAAGAGATTGACAATGACTGCCTGCAAGTGAGTTAAAACACTGCCACCAAGTAGGTTATAAGCAGTGCAGGTTACTAGACATTAAGAACCATTATAACCATCTGACCACACAAATAACAAATTGAAGTAACATATATGGCTACAATACAATCAAAAGTTTAGAGACTATTTGCACTTTAACACCCAATAGCTTCACCCCTCTTTAATTTTGAAACCCCAATATCCTTTTTGACAAATCGATACCCCAAGTGTATAAAAGATGTTAATTTGTTCGAGTGTCAACAAAAGAAAAGTGAATTAGAAACAAATTTTCTAGCCAAATTCAGGTTCTTGAGTTTAGAAAAAGTGAGTAACAAAGGCAGTGCTCTGGAGGTATCAAAATTGTAAACTAATGTCAATTTGAAAACTTAGGGACGTCAGTTTGTCAAAATAGAACTTCAAGGTAACAAAGTTAAGAAAGGGTGAAACTTTAGCGTATTAAAGTGCAATAACCCACGCTTTAATCAATTGGTTGCATAAAATCACCAAAAACAAATATGTGGGCGAGTGAGAGAGACGTACCATTCGGGATATCCCTCAATTTAGTTCCAGAACCCTGAAACAATAGTCGAACAAAACCCTAATTCAGCTCAAAAAACCAACTTTTCCTAAAAACCCTAGCTCTAAAACCCTAGTAAACAAATTGTACCTCCTCGATCTTGAGCGCTTTCGACGCCGAGAGCTTCCTCGGCGAGACCGCAGAGTACCTCTCCACCGTCTTCCTCTCCCTCGCCGGCCTCTTCCTGGATCCCTCCTCCTCCTCCTCCTCCTCTTTTTTCTCCGGCGACTCTCTCTTCGCTCCTCTTTTCTCCTCTTCAGGCGGCGTCACCTCCTCTTGCTCCTCCTCCTGATCCTCTCCATGGGAATTAGGGCTCTCTTTCTCGACTTCAGCAACTTCGGACCCCATTCAATCAAACCCTAGATCGCAAATTTTGGGGAGGCTAAAGATTGGATCTTGGTGTAATTTATTGAGAGCGGGCTGGATTTGGAAAAAGGGTGGGTTTTTAAATTTCATGCCAAATTTTGTAGCGGGATATTGGGGGAAATTTTCGTTTGGGAGCCGCCAATTTTTAGATTTTTTTTCAGTTCCCCTTTCGGGGAGAAGCCGGGAGGTTGAAAACTCGAGGCAATCTCAGCCGTCAATTCATCGGAATCCTTGATGTGAGAGGGGCCCATTTGACTTGATAGGAGAGAGACGGTCAATAATTTGACGCTGTTCAAGAAATCAGAATAAAAACAAAATCCAGTATTAGGAAAAATTGCTTCAATGTCCCAAAATTCAAGTTTTAATGTGTCTTAGTCCTTCATAATTTTTTAATGTGTTGTAACTCTTTTTTTTTTTAAGTGTGTCTAGGGTCCTCCGTCATGATTTCAGCTCATGATTAGACATGTCAGTTCATGATTAGACATGTCAGCTCCTAAAATCCTAATTTTACCATTTTTCTTTCTCATGCCAGCTCATGTCAGTTCATCTCATCTCATGTTAACTGTTATAGATTATATGTTAACTATTATAATTTCATAAATATATTTTTTAGCTCAATGTGTGAACTATAATAGTTAACATGTTACCTATAAATAGTTAATATGTTAATTATAAATAGTTAACATGAGACGTGAAGTTCATTGGGACGGCGCCAACGACGGAGCGGGGGAGGAAGATAGGGGAGGGGGCCGGAGGAGGAGGGAGGTGTAGGGAGGAGGTGCAGTGGGTGGGGAGGGAGGCGGAGCGGGGGAGGGAAGTGGGGGAGGGGAGGGAGGCGGAGCTAGGGAGGGAGGCGGGGGAGGGGGCTGAGGGGGACCGGAGGAGGAGGATGGAGGTGTAGGGGAGAGGGTAAAATCGGATTTTGGATGAGGTTGCATTGGAACTTGGGGAGAGGGGCATGGACACAAATTTTTCAAATTATAGGGCCTGCAGGCTGCAGCACATTGGGGGAAGTTGAGGGGGCTGGGGCACATTAAAACTTGAATTTTAGGGTCTTAAAGCAATTTTTCCATAAATTTAGATTGTTATGTCATACTTTGCCAAGAACTTGAGCCCGGTCCGGTGGTGGCCCAGCTCAGATCAGGCTCGATACTAGGTGGGCTGAATTATATAGAACCAGTTAGGGCTGCCATTTTTTCCTTTTTTTCCCTTTTGTAATTTCTTTTTAAAATAAAAGACAATTAACTGTTTCCCTCGCACGTAGTATTTGTTCTGAAGCATATTATATATTTGTGTTTACAATATTTTCTGTATGATTTGTAACAAATATACTCATGATTTAATTTTATCATTTATTTTCTTATAATATGTTCGCTTATTTTCAATTAGAGTTAGAAAGTAAATTAAATGTAAATATGAACTATAAAATGCATTTAAAAAAAAATTAAAACTTGAACCGGCATGGGCTAATTTTTGTTATCCTTTATGTTTCGATGATGATTTACAACCACCATTATTAGTATTAATTATTTGTTGAGTGATATTATAGATTACAAGAATATCAAACTCATTAGTACCTTTATTGGAGGATTGGATGGAATATGAGCTACAACGATGATATCTAATGAGGTGAAGGCAGAGTGATGAAGTAAAGCTTTCTAAGAGCATTACATACATGATAAGCTTCATCAACATAGAAGCGAATATCAAGACTCAAGCCATGTACTTATATGTGAGGGATATTTGCTATTTTATTTTCTCTCTAGTACTTAAGCCATGTACTTATATGTGAGGGATATTTGCTATTTTATTTTCTCTCTAGTACTTAATGTAGGCAAGTAGTTTGTTGATTACATTTGAAGCTCATATTTGCTATTTTATTTTCTCTCTAGTACTTAATGTAGGCAAGTAGTTTGTTGATTACATTTGAAGCTCTTAGAATAACACACTTACATAGTTTCAATACTCGTGACATTTTTGCTAAAATAATGATTTTCATAAATACGAGGTCATTTTTACAAAATTCCTTTTCAAACAAGTTTGTTATTATGTTTATAAACTATTTCCAAAGTTTCACATTTTTTAAAAATTTATTTACTATTTTTAAAAGACATTTAAATCTCATTTTCAAAACCTATACTGGCTGAAAAACTGTTATCGGTCAACTGATTCTTGAGATCAGTCGACTGATGAAACTCATTAGAATCTTAAAAAGTTTTTGTTTATTATTTAGTCGACTGATGATCACATCAGTCGACTAATATATGAGATCAATCGACTGATGAAACATGACAGAATTGCCAAAAGTCTCTGCTTCTTATTTGGTCGACTGATGACCTCATCGGTCAACTGATTATACTATTAGTCGACTGACGAGCTAAAAATTGCCTGTAATGGTCAGCTCATTAGGCGACTAATAAAACCCGTCAGTCGACTGATAAGCCTCCAACGGCTAGTTCTGTGCAGAATCTTGTTTCTCGATTTTTGGAGGATTTTGTCTGTTTATTTGGGGTTTGGCTGTCATCTTCACTTCTTATAAATACCCACCAACCCCATTAACTTTAGTAACCAAAAAAAGGATTAAAAATTCTCTTGAATTTGTGTTTCTTGTTCAAAAGAGCTTCAACTTTCATTTGTTTTCATATTTTCAAATCTCACATCCCAAGCTTCACTTGCAATCTCTTTCTCTTGCCATAGGGCTGCTGTAAGAGAGAGTTTTTCTTCCATTTGTAACTATTGTGAGCTTGATCTCGTGAAGATCTATTGTGTGGTTGTGAGATCTCGGTGAAGATCGTTGTGTAGAGAAGTTCCGGCTTCCAAACCGGGTGTGTTAGTGGATTTCTCCTCGAGAGTGGGGAGTGGGGACATATGTCAGAGGACCGAACATTGTGAACATACCACGCGTCATCAATTGGCTAACTATTTCCAACTCCTACTCTTTTTTATTGTTATTGCACTTTATAATTGTTTATGGTTTATTGGAAAATCTTTTAATTGCATATTCATTATCCATTAACCCTATTCACACCCCCCCCCCTTAGGACCTTTCAATTGGTATCAGAGCAAGGTCTCTACTGTTTGTTAGGCTTAAACCCCTTAGAGAAAATATTTAAATGGAGACTTCAATGAATATGCATATGTTAGAAGGACAATCCGCCACTAGGCCACCCATTTTCACTGGTAGCAACATTGCCTATTGGAAAGCTATGATGATGATTTATTTACAATGCATTGATCTTGATATCCTAGATATTGTGAAAAAAATTGTCAAGAAGCCTAGTAGAAAAATGATCGAGGATGAGAGGAACCTATCTAACCTTAATATTAAGGCCATGAATGCAATAATTTGTGGCCTTACCACAAATGAATATAAGAGAGTTTCTACGTATGCAACCACACACGATATTTGGGAGAAGTTATGCATCACTCATGAAGAACCCCCTAAGTAAAGGAATCTAAGATTAGTGGACTCATGCATGATTATGAACTTTTTAAAATGCTTCCAAATGAATCTATCGATTCTACATGATTATGAACTTTTTAAAATGCTTCCAAATGAATCTATCGATTCTATGTTTTCTCGATTCACTAACATTATAAATGAATCTTTTTAAAATGCTTCCAAATGAATCTATCGATTCTATGTTTTCTCGATTCACTAACATTATAAATGAATCACATGGTCTTGACAATGTGTTGGAAAATCAAGAGATGAATTATAAGATTCTTCGCTCTTTGACGCCGGCTTGGGAACCTAAAGCCATGGCCATTGAAAAAGCTCATGACCTCTCAACTCTCGCTCTTGATGGTCTCATTATCAAGCTCAAGGTCCATGAAAAAAAGATCAAGGAGAAGGAAGAAGCAACCCCAAAAACAACCGATGAGACACCCTAAAAATTAAAGTCTATTACACTCAATGGAGCAATTGATGATTCATCCTCCTCAGATAGTGAAGTTGATGTCTCTAGAGAAGTGACACACCTCTCTAGAAGGATATCAAAATGAATAAAAATTTTAAGAATCGATCTAATAACAAATTTCCTTCTCATATAGGTAAATGCTTTGAATGCAACGAACCGGGACACTTAGCCAAGGATTGACCCAAGCTTAAGGAGAAGTATTTAAAGTACAAGAAAAAGAAGGCTATATATGTCGGTTGGGATGAATCCGAACCAAGGGATTCAGATAGCGATGATGAGGGCACCAATATTGCTCTTCATGACCCAAACTTTTGTTTTATGGCTCATGAAGATGAGGTACAATCTGAAACCGAAAGTGAATCTCTTTATATGCAATGTGAACTAGAAGTGGCTTTAGAAGAATTAAATTTTGAATTTAAAAGATTAGCAAAAGAATATTCCTCATTCAAAAAATTACATATTTCTTGTAATTCTAAGTTTGAGCAACTAAAATCCTCTCTTGTTCTAAAAGAAGAAATGATAGGAGATCTAGACTTTGAAAACAAACAACTAAGATCTAAAATTGAGAGATTAAAAATTAAAAATAATAGAAATTAAATCTAATCATGCTTACTCTAGTCATCATCATATTGATAGAAAATGATATCATCAATCTCTTGCTCCTACATACAAGAAAAGATTTTTATGCACATATTGCATGAAATATGGTCATATCTCTACTCATTGTAGGATAAAAAATAACATTGATCATTATGAGTTAATGTGGGTACCTAAGGATTCCAAAATACTAACATTTAAGGACCCAAAGTTTGGGTACCTAAACGTTCTACAACTTATTCATATGTAGGGAATGTCTCGCACAAGACGTAAGAAGTTGTGGTACATTGATAGTGGTTGCTCACATCATATGACGGGTAACAAAAAACTATTTACAATACTATTAAGGATTAAAGGAGGCAATGTCTCATTTGGTGGTGGTGAGAAAGGTAAAATTATAGGTATTGGTAATATTGGTAAGGTACATTCTCCCATAATTGAGGATGTTTATTTTGTTAAAGAACTAAATCATAATCTTCTTAGCATTAGTCAATTAAGTGACAAAAGCTTTGATATTTCTTTTAAACCGGATAAATATATTGTTAGTATGAATGATAAAATCATTTTTGTTGCTTTTAGAAGATCTAATGTTTATATTTTTGAGATATATTGTTAGTATGAATGATAAAATCATTTTTGTTGCTTTTAG